ACACACACACACACACGGCTAATCTCGAGAAATTATGAGCGAAACGATCGTCGCGATTGTCGCGATGACAACTGGCTCGCGAGTATTCGATGACTGGCGGCGAAGAGAAAGTCGAAGTCGATTTTCCTTCGTCGAAATGCGGGCGAGGCGCGCCTTCATTCTCAGACCACCCTGTATATGCGCGTGCACACACATACTCGGGGCCGTACTACTAAAGCCTCCTACTTTACGGGGACTGTTGCAATTTCAGTTAATACTATAAAACCTTCGGTGTACGTAGTACCACGCCTGCGCCGCTCTCGGAGAGTATGGAAGTACGTCCAGGAGGCGTACACGCTATTCTCGAGTCGAGTCGAGAGAGTGAAGGAGAGAAAGAGAGACGAAGAATGGCCCTGGACTCGTCCAAAGTTGTCGATGGAAAGTTTTATGAGGCCTTTCGTTTATATCGACGCGAGGATACTGATGTATACAAACCGAGCGAGAAGAGCACCTCTTCCAGCGAATCAGCCGTGTAAATCCGCCGAAATCAGAAAGATCGTTGTTTGTAATAATCCGTAACATGTATTCAACATGACGCAAACTCGATACCAATCTCGTTTATTTTTGGAACATTTGGAAGACAAATGCGACTTGATCGAAAAACGCCGGTAGCAGGATTAATCCTCAGAATCTTGTTTCCAAGATGTTCATGGGGTTTAGGGAAAACATGTTCGTTCGTTCGCCGCAAAAATGTAATTTGCTGATACACGCGGGAGGAGATCAACGATACGCCCAGCGAACGATTAAAACACGGGATACTTGCCAAGAAATTTATCGACTGTTTTACGCACCGCGAAACCAACTTTCCACGGTGACGGGCGAAGCGATGAATGAGAAACCAATCGACGGGAAATATTCCGGCTATGCAGATGCGGCGCGTTCTCTCTATACGCGCTGATATTGACTATGTTCGACGACGTTTTGCATTTACGGTATGAAGCGCGAACATTTCATTGAAATGAGATTTTTTTCCCCTAGCTTTTCCCCCCAACTGCGCTCGTCGGTATTTTGCCGCGCCGACCGATTTAAATTGCCTTCTCTTAACATTCCGGTGTGTTACTTCCTCGCACACCTACGACTATCAATCAATACAATCATGTATCAGAATCTCGACGTGTCCGTAGCCACTACGCAGATATCATTTAGGGATGTATCATACTATTTTTGTAATTTGCCGGCGATTTAGAGCCTGAATAAAAAATTATTTAAATAAAGTATGTTTCTATAAATGGAAATATAATTAAGAAATAATAATAAAAATTTCAATTTTTTTTATATAAATACTTCAAGTATCCAAGATTATTTAAAGTAAAGTTTTATTGCGATCGAGAGATTAGTTTTGTAAATAAAAATTTAATTTACAGACTAATTAATCTCTGCATCATTGAGATTTTTGTCTTGATTATTTCTTGGTTATATTTTTTATTAAAGCACATTACTTCTATTTCATAATGTTTAAATAATTTTTAATCCAGGTTCTAAACCATCCCAAAATTTGCATAAGGATATATTTTGCGTTGTAAAAAGTAAAAAGAAGGAAGTTGTGAAATTTTAATTCTGTTTGTTAGAAGACATTGAATTTTTTTGATGTATTCTGCGATTTTTTAACGCAGTAGAGGTATTTAAAATTGAAGTTAGAATGTTGTTAGTTGAATTTAATGCGGTAGGAGAGACAAAGGCGCGCCGAGACTTTTGGAATTCATCGATAAGCGCAGCCTTGCGACTTGCCTTGCGCAATTAACCCGCTCGCTCCTAGACCACGCGTATTTCCTTGTCGCGCGGTCGTAAAAATGAGTCACATTTAATCATCCGTCATTTTCCACGCAGCTTATTTTTGTTCAGACCGCGTATCGTGGAAAGGCAAGTGACCTGAAATAAACCGGTTTTCACTCGCCGCACGAAATAATAGATTAAATTCGGCAGAGTTATAAATTAATGCACCAGGATGTAGCGTTACGCAACTTGAAATTTACAAGTAATTACGATTCGACGTTATTATCTTAATCGCGCCATTTCAAAATGAGCGCTACCGTTTCATCTTGGCCGAGATTCTCTCGTGCCTTGTGTGTTGTCAGATTTGGAAACGTTGATGTTAAATTGCTAATTTCCCTTTTAAATTGACTCCCTGAGATTAGTAAAATATTAATAATCTTGCGGATTATTTTAATTGCGTCACTATAATCGAGATTCTCGACTGAAATACTAAATCGGCAATTTTTAAAATTTTTTAAATCGACTCTAGAAATAGTCAATAGAAATAATCTCGATGTTAGATCAAATTTTCTTCTAATGTCATTCTATTCTTTTGTGCTGCTCGTGAATTCGACGAGGAAATAAAAGAGATCGCGGGCATGGGAGGAGGGGGTGGGGGAGGGGGGGAGTGGTACGTGGAGTCGGGCGGAATGGCGCGACCGAAAGAAAAGAGAACAGAGGAGGGTAAATTGAGACAGAAAAGAAGTGTGTTTGCACCTTTGCGTTTCTCGGCGCGGAAAACGCCGATTCGCGAACCTCTCGCCTAGTTGCACGTGCCTAGCTGGTCGGTGGCCGGAATTAACGTTATTTCGACGAACACACGCGGGGGCCTTTTTCTGCCTGCCTGCCGCGCTTATCGCGCGGCGTTTTATATTTATCGGGGATGTTGCTGTACACGTCGAAATCACACGATCGAGAGAAGTATTCGAAAAAGTAGCCGCCGGAGGGATGACGACGCGGATTGGGAAACCGGACGCTGTGCTCCAACGGGGAATTTTCGATCGGCGTACTCGCGAAATTCGTTTATCGACTTTCGATACACGTTGATGCAACAGCTAATACACGTCCGCTGCCCCGACTCACACGCCGTGCTCTTAAAGCGATTCTAAAGTTGTATCGCAAAAAAGGACGAAAGCGACGTGGGCGAAAATCAAGGATGTAAATTCGTCAATGTCTCTTTCGGAAGAAAATACGATTTGGTTAATTGTAGTTTTCATATGTGTACGTAGACTGAGATACTTGAGACTGAAAAAATTGTTCTGTGTCAACGGCCGATCTGGATATCGCAATCCGGATCGTTCCGATTGTTGATTTGTCCGTTTCGAAGTCATTAAGGCCTGTCTCCTCGGTTCGAGGTGAGTCGGAGATAACCAGCACGCTCCGATCTCACGATCTCACTCGATTTCTGATCGATTTTAACGCAATACCTCTTCCATGGCGAACGTAGGATAAGGTCGATCAATTTCCGTAACGTCCGTACACTATACGATTGCAAAAAAAAAAAAAGAAAGAAAACGATCGAGGAAATTGATGTATCTAACGCGATATATGTAACGCAAAGTATTTACATCTGGATCAAAATCTCTCCTTGCAAAGCCTAGAATTTTCAAGAAAATTGTTAGTTTTTATTTTTGAAAATCATGGAAATTTATTGCAACTCGGGAAATCTTTTGAAATTTTATTTCTAAACTTAAATCTTTAAATTTTTTATTTCAGAAAAAATTTTTGATAATTTTGTTTTTGTTGTAATATAAACTATTGGTAATCTGTCGAACATTCAAGTTAACAATCAGTACAACATATATATCTGTACATTGATATATAACTTGCGTTTTTATAAGAAAATCTAATGTTATCTTAGAGCCAAATATTGAGTAACTTTCCTTCGTGATTAGAAAATATTAAAAAACACAATAAAAAAATTTATTTTCAAGTTACATTTAAAAGTTCTTTAATTCTAATTGGAATTTTGAATAAAAGATATCTGGAAGATTCAGAAAATCTCAGGGAGTTTGCAATATATTAATAGACTCATAAATATTAATTAGAAACATAAAACACTTGAATCGAAATTTTACTCCTATTTTAACTTTAACTTTAAAGTTTCTAAGTTCTAGAAGATTGTGATAAAGCTTCATTTTACATGAATTAACTTTTACTTTGCATTTGAAATAAACAATAAATGAACAATTTTCGATTCAATTTCGAAGTTTAAAACAGAGAGAGTTTAAAAGAGGAGCTTCCGATTATCTTCGATAGAATTTTATGATTTTAAATGCTAAAACATATCAAAAGAGGTTGATTGTTCAAAATATTGAAATAAAAATTCTAATTGAGGTCGAAAGTAGAAAAAAATTTTCACTCGGACATCGGAAAGACGTTCGGTTACAAAGTTGAATTGAGGAAGATATTGAAATCTTGAGATCCTTGGTGAAATAATAATCGTTAAGCGTGACATAAATTTTGGTGTAACGACGAGAGACTCGAGAAAAAACGTGTCTGAGAATGAAAATGCGTGGGCAACATTATGCGATGGAAATCACAAGCGCGTGTGGGCGCGCACTTGCGAATTAATACGCTCACGTTGCGTGCCACTGCATTATAGAGCCGCATACCTCGGGGATTGTAATTTTCGCATTATAACTTTGACAGTTACTACTTACAAGTTACTAGCCGTACTAGCGTACGGCAACTGCATAATACGCCCCGCTTCGTCGATACCACAAATATTATCGAGCGATACTCGAACTCCGTAAATTGGCCGCTAACACAATGTGCTTTGCTTCTCTGTTTCGAGCACGTTCGCAAAATAATAAAATGGACGCGCAGCCCTCTACGCTTCAGCAATTCGCCAACGCGCGTATTAAATAACTGATAAATCACGCGCGATAACGCATGAAAATTTAAGAAATGAATTCCGCGTGCGACGCGGAGGTCCAATTTCGCCTCGAATTTAATCGTGCCTATTAAAATAAATCGCGTCGATCGCGCTATCTCACACCTCGAAATGAGCGTATTTCAATTCGCTCCGAGTCTAGTCGTAATTTTTATCAGAACTCGTGTCGCGCGAAAAATCGACAACTTTTCACATTTAGCCCGAC